TTGAGAAGCGGATTGCAAATGGAAGGACCTGAGCAGTGAGGACGAGTGCAGTCAAAACATGAACTGATATTTCTCCAATTTCCATTGACTTTTCACTTCTGCTATGCCCCCGAGTGCGGGAAATTTAGGCGGCCTCAGCTCGCGTTATAATAGTAATAATAATTTTTTTTTCTTTTTGAGGTCATCAAAACTTGCCCTCACGTTATATTTGTGCAAATACGGTAATTTTATAAACTGTAAAAACTACCACCCACAAATACTAGTAAAATCTGCATTTGTGCTCTGAAAGTGTCACTGCACTTTACATGCGTTCGAGCCAGAGCTGAGTCGAAGTTTGCTGCCCTTTCAATTGACTGCTGCGCGGGAACTACCTCGACTACCATATTTATTCAAATAGACAGATTTTGTTTCCTTTCTTGGCACAGCTTTTTAGAATTAGAAGTCAACCTACAGTCCAGACCAAAGAAGGTCGACCCGTAATAGTGCCGAGCATAATTTCCGAGCCAATCGCGCTAGCTCATGCACTACCCCATGTGAACCGCAGCTCCTAGCACTCCGGTGCGAGGTGGTGAAACTTGACGCTTGCACGCCGGTGTGACGCTGTGAACGTTGACGTGAGCTGTGCAAGTGCCACAGGCCATTGTACATCGTAGCAATGCCTCGGAGGCACGTGAAAGATGCGATCATCGAGCGATATCATCATGAGTAAAAGATCCTGGGTCTGTCTACTACAGTAGCCACCAACCCATTAGTTTGTAAACTTTTCCTCGCCACTTTTAGCTCCCAAAATCGCCAACATCGGCTGGACGATCGGACGATGACGGGGTTGGTGCGATGGAGATCAATCTCTGCACTTCCTTTCATCTTAAGCCAAAGCGCAGGTGACGCTCCGAGTCAAAGGGACACATCGAGCAGCACCGAAAGTGCAACATGATATTCGTTAACTATCTCTACGTGCTCTTTCACTGGCTAAACGAATCGACGTTGGGAATGCTCCAAGATTTGCGCTTTTAATGTGCGTGTTCGTGGCTATATGTTTGAGCCTTCGACAGAGTTCTTACCTAAGATGAAACAGACTGTACAGTGGGTAGAGGCGTTGTGGAATACATATCTGTACCCTTCTTTTTTCACCAATAATGAAATATTTTTATTCACTGCTTCGTTCAAGCCTGCCTCCGCGCAAGTATGCCGCAATTCTTAACAAAAATGGCACTTTGGCGCAAGATGCAGCAGGCTTTCGTTGATAGTGTGGTGCAAATGGTGCAGCACTTCCATCACTGCATATGCTGCTTCACTGCAGCACACCAGTGCGCAATAAAAAGTGCACCCAATGGAGCTAACTACCCCGCACTAAAAGTAAGAAATATTCCAAAATTTCTGAGTACTGTCAGGTTCAAAATTGAACAGTAGAGTTTTCAAAGCGATACTCAAAATTTGTGATAATTTTCCCAAAACTATCGTAACGATCAGGCAGTGAAGTGGGACTTCGGCTATTAGCTTCAGCATTGATTCAGCGTAACTTTTCGTGCAACATTTGCACAAATTTCTCCCATTTTGGTGAAATGTAGAAGGAGGGTGCGTACTTTGGCACAGTTCAGCGCAAATGGTGCAGCAATCACCTCAATGAAGGTACCTAACATTATGAATACCATTCTGCAATAGCACTAAACAGCAGATAATCCCAAGTTCACATATGACAACACGGTGAGAAAGCAGGAAGGGATTCGTAGAAATAAGAGAACACAACAGATTACAATAACGATCATTTAAAGGGCAACGTCAGTCAATTCCGAAAATTCTGGGTTTACGGGCGACTGCCACATCATAACTAATAATGAATGGTCCTAACGTATTTACTCGCACAATAAATGCACCCCCCACAACGGGCTTCAATATTTTGACATTCTTTTCCTCTCCCGTAATCAATGCACCTCCAATTTTCGGATCCGCGAGTCTCGAATTGCGTCCGATTTAGCGAGCCACCAAGCCAAGTTTCTTTTGCCGCCAAGCGATCAGGCCAAGTCAAGCGAAGCCACTCTCGTAATAATGGCCGCAAGTACGTAATTGCGGTAATTACGGAAGTGATCAACCGTGAAACCGAGTGTCGCGCACACTTGACGAAGCTTGTGGTCCGCTTTCAGACAGTGAAATCGTGAAAGTGGTTAGGCCTAATTTCACACACTCCGGGTAAACGCGTTTATTTAAGCTTATTTAAAACTTAAATAAACGCGTTTACCTGGAAAAACACTCTCGACCTACACTGCACTGTAGGCCGAGAGTGTCTGGTAGCCTCTCTGTGAACGAAACTTGATCCGCGCAAGCGGGCTTCGGGGCTTGGCGGTTGAACTTTGTACGAGTTCTTATACGCAGAGTTCTTATAAGCGTAGTCGCGGCTATACCCGAGCGTGCCCGCCAGATACTAGCAATATTCGCGACTCCAGCAAAACGAACGGCACCTAGCGGGAAAACACTGAACTGGCCGGAACAGGTCCCTTTGCGATTTCTGCTCGTCTCTTCTGCCTTCCTCGTTTCCATGTTGTCGGTGGTTTGTGTGACAGAACAGTTCTACCGGTGACTGTGTCGTAACCGCAGTATCGCCTTGTGACCGAGGCTGCTCTGCACGCGACCTATGTAAACGCATGAGCCAGACATTCTGCGTTTATAAACGCTGGAAGGACAGTGGGCAGTCCTTTCCTCAAAGTCAAGCCTCTGGAAGTTCGCTTACTCCAACACATCGCCGCAGGTTCGAATGTGGAAGATAAAAAGTGGGGGAACCAATGTTGAGTGCGATGCTTACTTGCCGCTGCCCCAGCGTTATGCGTTGAGCTGGCTCATGGCACGGCACGACCTGGATTCGACCGCCATATTTGCCCGATAGTGGCGTCCCCTATGGGTCGCTGGAGTCGCGAATATACCGCCTAAGAACGGTCGTGTTGCTTTTGGTGCTGAGTGAGCTTCGTAGGGCGCTTTTCCTTCGGCAAAAGGCACCCCGAAAGCGCCCTAAAAAGGTTTGCATTTTATAAAGCATGGTTACTGTGGCGTGCCACAGTACCTTGTTGTGCCATATTGGCACCTAATATGACATTTGCACAAAGTGTGTAAATGCAAAAATTTTACCCCGTGTTATGAACGCCCCGCGCCGTGTCGTCGCGTCAATTATTCGGGAAAAAAAGTGTGTTTATTATGCGAGTAAATACGGTATGTCATTCCTTCTCCGAAAAGTTAGTTTTCTTGCAAACCTTCTTTAAACAAAAATGACAAAGCGAAACCGAAACTTTGCTTGCAGCAGGCAACACTGGTCCTGCTCGTCAACTACTGGACATCACATGGTACGGAGACGTGGACCGTATCAACAAAAGCGGCGGACGGCGTTCTAGACCCGACACAGTCGCGCCCCAGACCCTCTGTTTTTTCCTCTCGCACTCTGTGCTTCGAAAAGTAAGAAACTAACAAAACAATTCTTCCAGTTGTTGACATTCCACGCAGTGTTGGTTGTATCCATGCCATTCCATATGTCGCCCGCTAGATTGGGCGGATTTTGGTGACTAAGGAGCCGCTCCGACTTCAATGGCCAGTCTAATAAATTTGTAAGCGTAATTACGTCGTAATAATTAATGCATAGGCTTTTGAGATGATGCAACATAAGACTGCATCATTTTCTCGACATCGAAATTTTGCCAGACTTGCCCTTTAAGAGTGGCGGAATTCTGCTCTAGAAAACCTCTGAGGGGGAAAAAAAAAGAGGACAAAGAGGATGTATCTTGATTTTAAATAAGAACAGAGAGCAAAGAACGCCTGACCAGAAAAAGCGGCGGAAAATGAGGGGGTTGAATTGCAGAGAATGGACGAGCTAACTGGGCTGAAAGCTCTTTGGGTTCAACTCTGGATTCAAAGATGCTTTTGACACGGTGGAAGTTGGCTAACTATGTTCAATTGGGTACTTATCATCTTATTCCAGGACCTCTCTACCGTGCCATTTGATAAAAAGTCTCTCACGAAACTTACAATACCTTCGATGTGGTCTATGCGGGGGCGCAGCGACCCTTTGACCGGTGATGTGTTGACACCACGTTTGCAAAAGCGAGCACAATGTTGCATTTGACCTGAGCAATCTGTGCGCCGGTTGATATCCGTACCACGGAGGCAGATTGCCTTTGACCGCCCGTAGAGCTCAGTTCGAGCCTGAAGCCACAAACCACTTTGGTGCAACGCAAGTGTGATACTCGATGCAGTGTAGCACGTTATGCATGTATGGAAGCAATTTTACAGTCTGGAGAAATTCTCAAACTGCGTTAAGTGTAGGCTCCGAGGAGCTGCTTAAAGGCAAAGTGAGGAGTGTTGTGCCCGATCGAGGGATTTTAATGACGATGCGAACACCGAAGTCACGCTGCTTTCAGCGTAATATACCTTCTCTACGGCAGTAGCTGTTATTGCCCCTTTTTGGCAAAATCTGGCAAAATTTATATGCAGAAACCTACGTGATTGCGGGAAGAGGGCGATAATATGGCCACATTATCACCCTTTCTCTACCGCCATAGTTCCTTGCCCGACCGCATCTATGGCGAGCCGTGCCACTGCTCCCTCCTGCCCCCTCGTCGCCAGCCCTTCGGGGATCTGGAACGTCCCAAGTGTGCAGGCGGCGCACGCTTGGTTATTTTTCTTCCGACTCGCAAGCACTTCGGGAATGCAGTGTCGCAACAACTCTCTAGACGCCGTCGTGTTAAAACTAGGTCTCTAGAATTTAATGCCCGAAAAACGCCACTTTCAATTTAACCAAGTTGTCGATTTAGTGACAGGTTCCCTCAGCTTCGGTATTTCGAGTTTAGCCATATTCGCGTGCAATGCCACCGATCAAACACAAATCTCCTTTGTTGCCGTATAATTTCAAGAGTAAAAACCGCAATGCCCCTGATCGTACCAAAAGCTTTGTCGCGATGTAACTTAAGGAACGAAAGCCGTTTTAGAGTTTCCAAGACTGCACAATGTTCCGGAGAACTCACCTGACGTGTAAAGAAGGGCGCAGGGCTCCTGAGCTTCCTCCACCACGTCTGCCAGCGCCATCCCGTAGGCCGACAGGATGCCAGCGTACCTGCACGGGGATTGCCGTCTCTTCAGGTGGGACCAAAGGGTCCTGTTAATCCATGCTCCGAAGAACAGGAAAGAAGCTGAATTCGCCCGATACTGCGATGCCTGCAGGGTACCTCAGATGCGTGCATTTATCGTCCTTTCTGTCCAATGGATTCTGCCTGGCCCACCAGCCCGCACACCAATCAAGACTTGAAAAACCCCAAGCCTGAATCATGCAACGTTGGTGACAACCGCCTATGTTTGTCTCAAACTTGTCTTTATTAACTGAATGCTGGCAATGAAGATAAGTTGATGCGGTAACATCACCACAATATCATTCGCTGCTCCACGAAATTAATGCAATAAAATTTGCAATTGAAAGACGCACGGGAGCCTGTCGTCGAAGATGATCAAGCTACCAGACTTAAACCCAGTAATTTAAATTTTCCATTGTAGGTTTTTAAAAAGTTTTAGGTCCCAGTGTAATGTTACACAATTTAAGCCAAAACTTTTCAATGCTTGTTAGATCACGAGAGGGTTCACAAAAAAATTAACTACGAGGCTGCAATTCCAAGGTGAAAATTTCTATCCGTAACAAGTAGGAAATCCAGCTGGAATCAAGTGGTTTCAGTTGGTTCCGTTTGGAAGCAAAATGCTTCCAGGGAGAAAGTGCAACGAGTTGCCTCAGCTTGGCTCCACTCGAAGGACTAACCGAGACCAGCTACCCTTTGCTCGTTCCAGATGGAAAGCCAACAGGGACCATGGTCCCGAAGGGTAATTTGTGTCACTCCCACACAGACTGGCCCCCCAAAAAAAAACATGGGGAACCAAAAGCAGTTTTGCGCTCAAAGACATGGTGTGGAGGTCTCAAAGGGGTCACGCCTTCCGGCAGGGAGGCCGACCGCTCAACCTACCACTCCGCAGCGTATCATGCTAAGCGCTGCGGCGGGTTCGACTGTCGGCTGCAACCGTCAGCCGAGACTCTCAAAAGGGAGCACACGGACACGCCGAAGGCAAGGGATAATCGGGCGTTTATTTTACGTGTTAAACATATAAAGATAAGACACACGCTAACGGCGACAAGGAAGGAACAGACCTTACCTTGTCGTGCCTTCCCGAGAGCGGGCTCGGAGGTGGGCCGTCAGGGAGGGTCGGGCCACACGTCCGAACAGTTTGATGTCCCCGCGAGCAGTCCCCTCGAACCGGGGTACAAGGCCCCCCCTCTCTCTTTCTCCGCTGGCGGCCTCAGCCTCGGACCCAACAAGGTCCAACCGCCAGGGGGACGTTTCGCGTGTCCCCGCAAGGTGGGGGGGCACGGGGGATGGAGGCATGCGATGCGAGGGTAAGCAGCCAAGATGGCTGCTCCTCCGAGGCACGAGACAGGGCGCTCCGGCTGACGGTTGGACAGCTCGGAGCGCTATTCCCGCGGCCATAGGGCCTAATCAGGGAAGTGGAGCGGGCGGCTCCCACAATTCCCCCCTCCTCAAGATCTTGAGCACCCCTTTAGAACAAGGGATGCCGGCTCTCGTTCCCCCCCAAAATGACGCGCACAGAGAAAACAACAAAACACTACAAAATACATTAAATATATATAATAATCCATCGTACATAATACATGATCCTGAATACATAATGCTACATAAAAATTTTAAAAAAACACACACTCTTGAGGAGGCCGTCGCCCGGGGCTCCTGTTTTTAAAAATTCAAAAGTTCCTCCGTGAGCTGTTGCTCCTCCTCCGGGCTCAGCGCTGGTGCGGAGGGTGCCGCCTCCCCACTCACCCCGTCCATCGCCACGTCCACTGGCATCTTGAAGAGGCTTTTGTCCAAGATGGCGGCCGTGAACTCCGGCCGTCGCGCCATATACGACAGGACGGCGTCCACGGCGCCTGGCTGGTCGAGGGCGGCGTGCAGGTCAGGCGGGGCAGGCGGGGGACCACCTCAGGCGCCCGGACCCGGCTCCGATGGATTTTGCTGTCGTCGTGGACCTCGTTAATGCGGAGGACCCCGCAGCCCTCACAGTACACTGCCGCGGGGTCCGGCGTCATGGAGGCGCCCTGGGCCTCGCGGTCCGCGTCCTGGATCGTGCGGCCCCGAAAGAGCGGGGGCAGCTTGTCGGCCAGGACCCCCCGTCTGGGCCGCCGCTGTTCCAGCCATTCCCGCCAGGAGACTAAGCCGTGTGGCGGCCCGGTCCCCTGCTGCCAAGTCCGTGTTGCGCCGTGGCAGGTCGATTTGGTGGTGGGGAGAGGGCCCACCCCAGCCCCAGGAGACGGGGTGTCCAAGGGTGACCGTGATGGTGTCCCCGAGGCGGCCCTGGAGGAAGCCGCTGACCGGGGTTCACGTGTGTCTGCGGACGAGCGGCGCCGGGCGGCGCCATGGGGGGAGGGAGCCGCTGACCTGGGTTGCCCCCAGACCCCGTTGCGACCGTTGGACTCCGCGGACGGGTGGCGCTGGGCTGCGCCGTGGGGGGAGAGAGCCGCTGTCCGGGGCTGCTCCCGGATTCCGTAGCCGCCGTTTTGGCGGGAATCAGGGCCACGGCCGTAGGGGCGCCGCCTCCAGGTGGGTCTCCATTGCCCCCTCCACGAAGCCGAGGCCGTCGCCGCTCGCGGCCCCCGTCCGGCACCGTCCCCAAGTTGATGTTGTTGCTGCATCGCTTCTAAGTTTAAAACTGTATCCCGGCCCGCACACTTGTCGGGCATCAAAATGTCTCTCCCTCTTCCCTCGCCCTCGTATCCCTACACGAGAGGGAAGAAGGGAAGGAACCCCTGGGACGGACTTTCGGAGCATCTCCCCGCATACAGCAAGGAAACTCCGCTCGGTCCCCCGTCATCCGCATGGAGGGGGATGGGGGTGGAAAACACGACTTCGAAACGGGGCTTGGGGAAAAGTCAGTGGGCCAACCCCACGCCGAAAGTCGTAAAATTTCTCGGAGGCGCTGCTTCTCAAGGATCGCTTTGGCGGGACCGGGAGAAGGGCGTCATGCTCCTGGCCAACAGAAAACATTGCCCCCGAGGGGTGACACGTTTCCGAGAACAGGCTTGTTAGCGGGGTTGCCAATAGCTGAACTCGGGCAGCCTGCGTACATTAACCGGCCCAACCGCAGAGCGGGAGGTTTCAGTTGGAATGCAGACCACGCGGTGCCATTAACAGGATATGGCACTCTGCGTACGCAAACTGAACTCGGCGGCAGAGGATGCGGCAAACTACCGAGGCAAGCAGGGGTTGCCCGGTTGCTAGGATTTTTCTAGCAGTCCTTTTCGATGACTCCGCAAGGTGTAGCGGGGTGCCGACACTTGGCCGTTGTCCCCGCCTCGTCGCGAGTGCGTCTGCTGCCGCGAGAAACAATGGTCCTCGGCCGACCCGTCCTCCCTCATTGTGTAAGGTTTGAGGTCGCAGACGTGTACCGGTCCACCCACGTCCCTAGATTGTAGGTCTGTTAACTTATAGACCAGGCGGGAGCATGAATTTTTGACTTGGAACGGGCCCGACCACTTTGGCGCCAGCGCGGCCGAAAAGGCCTTGCTTGCATCGCTAAGCACGTGCGTGCGCCTAAGCACGAGGTCGCCCGCCTGATAGCGGACATCTCTGTGCGTGCGGTCATACTGGGCCTTTTGGCTAGCCTGCGCAGCTTCCAGATTTCGGCGGGCTTCGGAAAAGATATCCGTTAACCGAAACTGTAGCTGCCGGGCGTAGTCAGCATAGGCTGGCCGCGCGTCGTTCACCCCGCCGTTGGCTGCCAGAACCTGGTCCATGGGATTCATGAGCTCATGCCCAAATGTGAGCAGGGTAGGGGTGAACCCCGTCGATCGGTTGACCGTGGATCGGAGGGCAAACCCAATCTCAGGGAGATAAGTGTCCCAATCCTTGTGCCGCTCCGCATAAGCTGCAAGCATAGGTTTGAGATTGCGGTTCACGCGTTCGGTCACATTCGACTGGGGGTGGTACGTCGTGGTCCTATTGTGCTTAATGCCGAGGGCCGCACAGGCGTCCACGAATACCTTCGACGTAAAGACACTGGCATTGTCCGTTATCAAAGCCTGAGGGTACCCAAAGCGCGAGAACACCTCCATTAGCTTATCTAGGATCACTCGAGCCGTCAGCGTTCGGAGGGGAAATAGTTTGACCCATTTGCTGAAGTGAGCAGTGACAACCAGCAGGTACTGATGACCCTTCGGGCTCCTTGGAAAGGGGCCGACGATGTCGCACGCCGCGAGAGACCAGGCGTGCTGACTCTTGATGGGTTGCAACAAGCCGGGGACTTTGCCGTCTCGTGGTTTGAGGCTTTGACACAGGTGGCATGACCGGGCGTATCTCAGTACGTCGCTCTTCATGTTGAGCCAGGTGGCGAAGTGACACAACTTATGATAAGTCTTGGGGCCACTCGCGTGTCCGGCCGTTGGCGTGTCGTGATAGAAGCGCAAAAGCGCACCTCTCAGCCCTCGGGGCACCACCACCTTGAACGGATCACAGGTGTCGTTCTCAGATGGTATGTACCGCAAAAGAAGCCCGTCAGCGTCCAGCAAGAACGAATCCAATGCGCCAACCACATTACCAGTGGCTTCCCGACGCTGGGCGTTTACAGCAATACCAGCTGATCGCCCGCGCTCTCCCAGGAGCCCGTCGATTACTTCTCGACAAAATGGATCGTTCTGCTGAGCTTCTCGTAGCTCTTGTTTGCTAAAGGGGATCCCCACGCCTCCAAAAGAGTCGACATGGTTCACGGTTCCGTCAGAGAGCCCCGGGGGTGCCGGTGTCTCGTCGGACTGGGCTGTGAGTGGCTCGGACGCAATCACACATTTCGGCTGAGTTTCTGACCTGGAGGGGTCAGCAAACGCAATGGGGGCCCGAGACAAGGCGTCGGCCACAACGTTCGTGCTTCCCTTTCTGTAGCGCACCTCATAGTCGTAGCGCTGCAACGTCAAAGCCCATCTCGCCAGGCGACCGGCCGGCTCTCGGAGGCGTGTGAGCCATTTCAGAGCGGCGTGGTCGGTCTCAATGATAAAAGTCGTCCCGTCAACGAACATGTCGAGCTTTCGGAGCGCGAACACCATGGCAAGGCACTCCCGTTCGGTCACGCTGTATCGGGTTTCGGCAAGCGTCAATGATCGGCTGGCAAAGGCAACCGGTCGGAGCGCGCCTTCGTGCTCCTGGAGCAAAACCGCACCGAGTCCCCGGTCGCTCGCGTCGGTTTGTATCACGAACGGCCGGTTCAGGTCGGGCAGCTTGAGGTTGACGGTGGACACGAGAGCATCAGCGAGGCTTCTGAAAGCGGCCTCCTGCTCAAGGCCCCAGCTCCACTGCGCAGACTTCCTCAAGAAACGGGTTAAGGAAGCCTGGACAGCCGCGCAACCAGGGATAAACTGACAAAAGAAGTTTATCATTCCGAGGTAGCGGCGCAGAGAGCTTACGTCCGTCGGCGCCGGATACTCCAGGATAGCCTGGAGTTTTTCAGGCACGGAGGGACGCCGCTGCGGTCAATCGTGAAACCCAGCAAAGAGATACGGGTGTCGGCGACTTGGGTCTTTTTCGGATTCAGGGTCATTCCGGCGGCCCTTAGTCTCCCAAGAACATCCTCCAAATGACGCAGGTGATCTTCGAAGGTGTCCGAGTACACGACAATGTCATCGAGGTACGCCATGGCATAGGACCATCTGCCTTCCCCGAGAACACGGTCCATGAGTCGCTGGAACGTCATTGGCGCTCCTGTAAGCCCGAACGGCATGCGCGTGAACTCAGAAAGTCCACGGTGACAGACGAAGGGTGTCTTTTCGGCATCGTCGGGTTCGACTTGGACCTGTAGGTAGCCTCTGCTGGCGTCGAGCGTTGTAAAGAACTTTGCTCCGCCGAGGTTCGAGATGATGGAATCGATGCTTTGGAACGGATAGGCATCCTTGCGCGTGAGTTCATTCAGTTTGCGGTAGTCCACGCAGAGGCGGGAGCTTCCGTCTTTCTTTGGGACAAGCACGACCGGAAAACCCCATGGGCTCTCTGAACGCTGGATAACGCCGGTGTCGGTCAATTCATCCAGGGCGGCGTCGATGGCCTTTCTTTTAGCCAAACTAACCGGACGAGGATTGCACCGCCAGGGGCGAGCGTCCCCTGTGTCGATCCGATGCCGCACTGAGTCGGCGCAGCCGGGTCTGTCCGTGAACATCGAGTCATAAGAGTATAACAACGATGAAAGGCACGCCCTATCGCGACCCGTAACACCGCAGGAGGGTGCCAGCAGTGGGTGCAAAGCATTCTCGGCTGCGCCGATGGCACGCGCCGGGCGTGCGGACGCAAAGCCCAAAACCGGTTTCGGAGAAACAGTCTCTCCCGCGCGACCAGGGTTGCTTGCGGCGCTCGTTGGCATGGGGGCCGTTGAGGCGGCCGGGGGCTCGCAGAAGGGTTTCACTGGACCAAAAGGGCCCTCACGGTAACCTCCGTTAGCGACGTCAATCACCATCCCCGTTCGAGCAAGGAAGTCTCGCCCCAGAATCACCGGTACAGACAGGCCGGGGAGGTGGACGAAACGGTGGCGTCTCACTCGTTGGTCCCATCGCACGATCAGCCTTACGGCGCCGCTCGATCGGGCGGTGCCGCCTGCGGCCAGTCGAAAGGACGTGTTGCATTCCCATAGCCGCAAGGAGTGCGCCTGCAGGTGTGCCAGTACGTCTTCGCCGAACAAAGATGCGCTCGCCCCCGAGTCGAGGAGAGCTGCAAACATCCGGCCGGCGATGGTGAGAGCCAAGAACGGGGCAGGCGCATCGGGCGAAGAGTCCACCCGATACGCGGACGGAGCGAGGGCGATCAAGGGGGCCCCTGCGTTCCGTTGCGCCGCCGGCCTCGTCAGCGGCGGCCGGATCCGTTTCCCGAAGCTTGTTGAGGCGCGGGCCGCTGGTCGGTACATTCTCGGGCAAAATGGCCGGGACGGCCGCAGCGGTAACACTGGACGTTCGAACCGCGGGACCGGTTCCGTCGCAAGTTCCTTGGCGGGTTGGGGCGCTCATTCTGGGCATCAAGGTGCCCGGTCTGCGCCCATCTGTGCTGTCTCGGGTCCGCGGGGCGATCCCGATAACGCTGGTTCACCTGCGCCTCTGTGGAGCATCTTCGCAAGCCAAAGGTGTAGGGGTAGAGAGCACGATTAGAGATGTCCCTCGTGTCCGTTCCCCGCGGGTCGGCATAGGCCGCGCACACCTCGGGCCGGCGAGAGCGAGATCCGCTATTTCCATTCCACGCGCAGCGCGGCTCTAGGGACTCCGACGGCGGGGGCGGAGGTTGATAGGCGCGCGCTGCGAGGATATCGCCCTGAACGCGGCGGGCTTCGGCGGCAAGCTCGTCCAGAGAGCTGAACCTGCTGCCTCGTAAGTAGGCGGCGAACGTCGGGTGCGCTTGCCTGATTACCCGCTCCACTCTCTCTGCGTTCGGGGCGGCAGGGTCAGCTATTAGAAATAGCTCCTGCATTGCCCTGACATACTCGAGAAGCGATTCGTCCGAGTGCTGGGTCCGTCGCTCCAACTCTCGTCGCATCCTCCGCTTATAATCCGCGGGGAGGAATTCCTGGCGAAAAGACACCCGGAACTCATAGAGAGTGAGCGCATGCTGGCCGGCAAGGCGAAACCAGCGGGCTGCCTGATCGGTGAGGGCGACCGGCAGAATGCGGCCCAGAATTTCCTGGTCAGACATCCCCATGGCCTGCTGGTAGTGAAGCAGATCCTCCAGGAAGTCAGTTGCGCTGACCGCGTCGTCGTACCCCTTATACTTGGGTATGGGGATTCGGACCGGTGTTCGCGTGGCTCGCGGTCCTGACAAAACGGACTGCATGGCTCCAGACAGGCTCTCAATGATTCGTGATGCATCTCGCAAAAGCGCGTCATGAGAGCTCTGCTATCCATTTCCCGAGCAGACTGGTGTGGGCACTTGCAGCGCTGGGGTCTCGTCTCGCAAAAGGGAGACTCCCGAAACGCCGTTCGGCAAGCGATCGGCTCCGTCTGTGGGCAAGTCAATGAGATTGCCGACCGCGGTAGCCCCGGCAGAAGCGGCGTCGACATCGCGCGCGGGAAGGCTCCCCCTCGAGGGGGGGAGGAGGCCATCGCGAGGAGTGCCGAGCCCCCCTGTCGCCGTGTCAGGCCGGGGGAGTAAATGAGCAGCGTGACCGTAGGGCGGTCCGCTCAACTCGCCTGTGGTGTCTCTCTGAGGCGGGTGATGCACGTCGATAAACGGACAGGCGGGTGGGCTCTCTCGCAAAGGGGAGGCCAACGTAGCGCGATCATGCAGGAGACCGGCTCGTACGGTCTCCTGTCGGGCAAGGACATGCCATGCATGTCCTTGCCCGACAAGCAAAGGACACGTGAGAACTGCCGAAAGAGCTAGCCGACCTCAGAGAAGGTTGACGTGGCACATCTGGTTGCAGGCACAAGATTTAATGAAGTGATCTTTTGCCACCTCATTGATGCAACCTGGTCGTACCGCTTAAAAGTGGAACGACATCGGTGCAGCAACCGACAATTTGACCAACATTCTAACAAAGAAAATTCAAGATTCCATCTTGGGAGGAGGAGAGCTGCCCGAATTGACACAGTGAAATCTGCAGGCGGGTAGTGTGTTGCAGATATATTTTTTATATTTAGTCATTATTCGAAAATATTACATGACGCATGACTACCAAGAACCAACCGAGACCAGTTGAAACCGGAAATGTGGGCCATATGCCAGTTGACTGGGACTGGTATCGTCACCCAACAAGTTGTGGAGACCATAAAAAAAAGTACATGCGCGTCATTCGACAGAAATCTGTCTGCTTGGGGTGAAGAATAATTAAAGGACAACCAACCAAGCCCTAATCAGGGAGTCAACAATTTGAAGCCTGCTCAACCTCTTTTTGGGGGTGACTGCAGCAATAGTCATTAAGGAGCAGTATTTTAGTTTTTGTATTCTGCGGTGGCACATTTCTTTTTGCGTTGGTGATACCGCCAAGATCTTTGATGCAGGCGGACGGTAAAGCACCAAACGATTTATTAATTGCATTCGAGCCTTCGGTGCTTTACCATCCACCAAAGAAACAAATGCACCACCTTAGAAGACAAAAAATCTACAGGCCCGATCATGCTGACAAAGAACGGTGAGACCAGAATGGGTCCCACACAAACCACAACCCCGTTTTTCCTCGATTTTTTTTCTCTTAATTATATATATTTTCTTCTTTCTAAGTATTTGTGTTTGTATTTTTATTATTAAGATTCATAATCTTTTTTTTTTATTTATTTATATTTTCTTTGATACAATTATACACTTCATTGATTTATTTTTGTATATTTTATTTAAAATATTTGACCGCCTCGCGCAGCACCTGTGAATGAGAACCTTGGTCATTCCGAGGGCTCGTGCAACCGCGCAGGCATGCTGCGCTCCGGCCCCTCCGAAGCACGCCAGCACGTGATTGGCCGAGTCGTGGCCCTTGCCCTGGGTCAGGGCCCTGATTGGCCGGCACATGGACTCGTTGGCCACGCTCACAAAGCCCATGGCCACCTGCTCCGGGGTCATGGAGCCTCCGAGGCAGGAGTTCACCTGGGCATGAAGAATCCAAAAACGAGCAAAGGTGCATGGTTTCTGTGCGTTGCTTCGTTATCGCCCAGAGTGAACGACGGATCGGAAGAGTGGCGCGGCCAGAGCCCTTTATGCCGAGAGAGTTTGGCTCTCCACCAGAGCAAGCAAACTTTGCGAGGCCACAATATCAAGGTTTTTGCTTTTGGCCACTCCACTTTGCATGCGCTAGCCCAATGGCGGGGTGAGTACAGTGTAGACCGCATATAACGTATGTCGCGGGAGTCGCGAAAATCCGCACTATAAGCGGTACCGCACTATAACCAAAACATCAATTTTTCAGGCCAAAATACATGCCATGAGACAACTTACACTTGTGAAAAGAATTTATTTTATGTTAGATGAAAAATAAAGCTTAGTTTGAGGAAAGTCTTTATTTCACCTGACTAGTACAGTTCTGTCTCAAGTGTGTTACACATTTTGAAAGAAATGAGCAGCTTTTGCCTGGCGCAGCCTTTTAACGGCGTCGCGGGTTGCGGACGGACGTTGAGAGCGTTCAGGATTGCTAACCCTAATCACTTTTCTCCGGAGATGAAAACGCGTGAAAATTCGCTTCCTTCACACGGTACGCGCCAGTAATACCTTGAACTTGAGCGCACGCATGAAATGCGCCAAATAAGAAATCCGGGCGATGTTCGAGGACACAAATGCTTAGAAATCACCACTGTAGTCGAAGTAAACAAACACGACGACACAGGCGTTTCTGCCGTCTTGAGAGCGCCGCCACGACATCGCCGCACGAGTAGGTGGATCTTCCCTTCTAGCACGTGCTGGGTTATCATAGCAACACACAACGAAAATTCACAGTCAAGGATAGCGCTTTTACGCGGAACGATGAGATGAATGCCGTCTACGACGACGATCACAACCGACGCCGTGTTTGCGGATAGAAGCAGTCGGCCGGCGACCGGCATGTAACGCGCGCAACACTTCTCCTCGACCTGCGATTGGTCTGTCGCTGCGGTTGTTTGTTTCCAACGCAGTGGAGGGACGCACGCACGTGAACGACACGTGCGTGCGTCCCTCCGTCGCTATGGCAACTGAAGCCTTTCGCTTCTTCGAGCAACTCGGCTGTGGAGCAACTGCCACGCGAGTGCCGCTTGCTGCTCGCGCCGTCAGCGCCGTTATCTAGTGTCGCACAGGGAAGCGCGCTCGCTGCTCCGGTCGTCGGCGCGGCCGGCGGGCTGTGCCAGAAACCGCACTATAACCGGTATTTCCCTTCGCGCGCCTGCATTTTAAGCGGTATGTAATTACATGGAGTTCTATGGGAGACGAACCGGTGGTTTAAAAAAACCGCGCTATACCCGGTCCTGCACTATAAGCGGTTACGTTGTAAGTGGTCTATACTGTACTTGTTTTATAAACATAGCTTCTTGTACCCTGACATTTTGTTTGGCATGCAATCGGTAACTATATTCAAGCACCGGTCATTCTTTATTAACCTCCAAAAACAGAAGTTACAAATAAGCATTAGTTCTTTTGGTTTTAAACAAAATGATGCTTTCTCAAACAAAAAGGAACCAGGCAATCGATGCTTTCTCAAACAAAGAGGAATCTGTCAATCAAGAGCACGGGTTCGTAGCGCCTTTCCTAGATGGCGCCCGCCGCAGCAACGAATTTCGATGATGACCACTTTTGAGACCTTTGAAAAAAGTGTTAAATATGTAGTCACTTTCTGTGCGTCGAGAAAAAATGCAACCAAAATTTCTGTTCACAATAGCCAAAAATAAAGCTGAAATAAATAGCGAGACTCGCCTAAAATAACCATATTATGTGTATCTAGTCGGAATGATCATAGTCTTAACATTATAGATACTGTGCTAGGACAAGCATGTTTGCCAATTCTTTTTTTGTTAGAACGATTGCACAATGAAATCAACTCACGGAAGAACAAGTGTGCTGTTTGAGTGAAGAAGTGTTGTTTTTTTTTTTATGCCTGTAAACCGCCCTACCATAACGCCCCTGGGCACAGCGGGGTAATTATTGAATAAAGAAAAAAGGTGACAAACTTTTGCCTCCCATATCTTAATTTGATGATTCTAAACCTAAACAGCATGCAAGCACTGTACATGCTCCCACTAAATAATTAAAAAGAAAAACTGCACATTCACCCTTTCTTTATACTATTTCTTTAAAGAACAAAACCTGACCACTCGAAAGCATCTTTTTTGAAAATAGCTTGACCATCAAAGTGTTCATACTGACCGCTACCGGTTCATTCTCAATGCTGTCACTCAATGCCACGCAAACAAGATGCCCGGTTGTTTTCATTTTGTTTTTGCACAAGCGCTGCAACAATTGTCATCACTGTTGGATATTTTTGCTAGTTGACTCGTGTTGTCTGCGAACTTGCTTTTTTTATTTCCAATCACTTTTTGTTTTGATTTGTAATGGAGACCCCAAAAAGCTTCTTCTGCTTTCAGTTGCACTTTATTCTTACTGCCGCAATGTTTGTAAAGTGTTTGCACGGTCATCATTTTTGTTAATTTTGTTGTGTTGCGGTTTCAAGCGTGTGCATTTGTGGGCCCGTCTACTACTGGTCGGCTTCCGCTAGCTCCCTAGCGATATCCACTGAGACGAGTGACGCATTGACTTTGAAATTTTGGCATCTTTTTGCGATCACCTATTCTGAAAAGGCAACATGACAAGGCTATTGAATTGTACCCCTCACATCAAAAGTAATCTTTGAGAACATAGTTATATTGAATAAGCATTCTTTCCAGCTTTCAGACGAGACCTGGTTGTACTTAATACTGTAAATGGCACAGAGTCCACTTAAAAAATAAACAAATAAATGCCCGTTTCTACTCATTCTATACTTTGATTGTCATCGCAGTTGCGATCAGGGGATACTGCTGCACAAACGCACTGAACATAACAATTTGTTTCAGCTCTTAGGATACAGAAACAAGGCTCACCAACGCCTAAAACGTATGGAGCATGTACTTTTCCGTAGCGTCGTTGGCTCACAAAGAATCCAGATCTGCCACTGTCGCCGTTTGCTACCGGTCCCATAGGTTTTCAGGGGAGTTTCCAGTATTGGCGAAGCTACATCGTATTTGCATGTATCTTATAGTTGCTGTACTTGCATAGGGCTCATGGGAAATTATTAGGGTTGTGCGAATATTCGAATAGTAGTTCCGAATAATACACTATTCGATATTCGCTTCGAGAAGAACTGCACTATTCGCGTTTTTCCAAGTGCTGACTGTGGCGGGTTAGCCCCGTTGACTGCGCTTCTTACCAAGCACCGGTGCCCTGCGGAGAAGCATTACCCGCAGAAGCGAGCTCCGCGGGTGTTGCTTCTCTCAGTGATGTGATTGGCCTAAGCCGTTTTGGAGCACCTTTTGGAGCAGCCAAAACAGCGTTTTGGAGCAGCTAAAACAGTGTTTCGGAACAGCAAGAGTGGCTTTTGGAGCAGATACTCTTAGAAAAATAAAAATATTTGTTTCAAATGCTAGACAGACCAAAGACACTTTGCTTGCCGCAATAAAGAAATTATAATCAAGTTAGACCATCTGGGAGTCTTTCAACATGTAACTGAAATGCCAATGACACGACACATTTTGCAATGCTTCAATTAAATGATATCCACTATAGGTAAATAAGAATCAAAGTGCACATGTTAAAATTTATTTGAAAATGACCAGCTTAGTATAAATAGCACAGCATTAGGTTGACCAGTGATAAAATAAATGAAAGCAGTCTCCAACTGATGAAACACGTAACTACTGCAGTGCAATGCGAAATTGTCGCGTGAGCGGAAATAGCTGTTCGATCGAAACCATGCCACTCCGCTCTGTTGCCAACTGGTTCTCAAAATTGTATGCAAAATATAACTGTCCAGCATACGAAAAAAAACACTCCAGCGGCACGTGCTTGCCAGGCCGGCAGGCGAGGTACATGCTAAACCCACAAAAAAAGAAAAAAAAAAAGAACCTGAGCACATCGATGCATAACATCGCGAGGCGCTTCGTGCAACGGCTGAACTCGAGACAAATAAGCGCGCTATGTGGGTTCGGAGTGCAGACATTGCCTTTTTTGCTTTAGCTCACTTCTCTTCACCAACTTTCTTTCGCGGCAGATTTTTCACACACCGGGGTTCCTCTCGAAAGAAAGCCCACCGAGAGAAACCTAGGTGATCAATACTTCGACAAAGAAGTCTTTGAGCTAAAGAGGGATACTTGTAGTAACATATGATTTAAACAAAAACAGGAATGTTGAACATGCGGCGGTACTTAGTTTCATTTTAGAAAGCGCCATATCTGCAGTGACTTGGGGACGGCAACACTCGACGTCGCGCGACCACGGTGACTGGCAGGCAGGGACCAAATACAGTTTTCCCACTGTCGTTGCTTTCAAGAGCGAGCGCTTCAGCTCACAAAGTAACTCCCGCCGCGCACGCAAAAACGTGGTTTCGTTTCACAGCATGACAGTATGGGTGGTACCCCAGTATGTTAGCGTCGGAGCGTCTGCATACGCCATCGTCTATCGTTTAAAAAATGGATACACATATAAAAAAAACGCGAGACGACGAGGGCGCAGAACGAGACATGGCGGGAAAAACCAATCAAGACCGGATGAACGATTGATGCAAGGTACTTCGTGTCGGGCGGCTGCTTGCGCCACCTAGCTCACACATCCCTAATTACGGTACTCAGTTTAGTTTCGGTTTTCAAAGGCGACCAAGATTAGTCCTTTGGCGCAGGCTTGGCGCAGATTACGGATGTTTTGGCAAAATGTAGCAGGATGTACAGTATAGACCACTTACAACGTAACCGCTTATAGTGCAGGACCGGGTATAACGCGGTTTTTTTAAACCACCGGTTCACCTCCCATAGAACCCCATGTAATTACATACCGCTTAAAATGCAGGCGCGCGAAGGGAAATACCGGTTATAGTGCGGTTTTTGGCACAGCCCGCCGACCGCGCCGACGACCGGAGCAGCGAGCTCGCTTCCCTGTGCGACACTAGATAACGGCGCTGAAGGCGCGAGCTGCACTCGCGGAGCAAGGAGGTTGCTCGAAAACGCGGGGGGGGAAGCGAAGAGAGGCTTCAGTTGCCATAGCAACGGAGGGACGTACGCACGAGTCGTTCACGTGCGTGCATCCCTCCGCTGCGTCGGAAACAAAGAAACAAACAACCGCAACGACAGACCAATCCCAGGTCGAGGAGAAGTGTTCGCGCGCGTTGCATCAGTTGCATGCCGGCCGCGGGCCAGCTGCTTCTATTCTGCAAACATGGCGTCGGTTGTGATCGTCGTCGTAGGCGGCGTGCATCTCATCGTTCTGCGTAAAAGCGCTATCCTTTACTGTGAATTTTCGTTGTGTGTCGCTATGATAAACCAGCACATACTAGAAGGGAAGATCCACCTACTCGTGCGGCGATGTCGTGGCGGAGCTCTCAAGACGGCAGAAACGCCCGTGTCGTCGTGTTTGTTTACTTCGACTACAGTGGTGATTTCTAAGCATTTGTGTCCTCGAACATCGCCCGGATTTCTTATTTGGTGCATTTGCGTGTGCTCAAGTTCAAGGTATTACTGGCGCGTACCGTATAAAAGATGCGAATTTTCACCCGCTTTCATCTCCGGAGAAAAGTGATTAGGGTTAGCAATCCTAAACGCTCGCAACGTCCGTCCGCAACCCGCGACGCCGTTAAAAGGCTGCGCCAGGCAAAAGCCGCTCATTTCTTTCAAAATGTGTGACACACTTGAGACAGAACTGTAGTAGTCTGGTGAAATACAGACTTTGCTCAAACTAAGCTTTATTTTTCATCTAACATAAAATAAATTCTTTTACAAAGGTAAGTTGTCTCATGGCATGTATTTTGGCCTGAAAAATTGATGTTTTGGTTATAGTGCGGTACCGCTTATAGCGCGGATTTTCGCGACTCCCGAGACATACGTTACATGCGGTCTACACGTAGCAGGGTTAGCCTCTTGGCGCAGTTTGGAGCAATTGGCGCAGCAATCACGTCACTGTTCTCTGCATTAAGTCGGTGCTCGGTAAGAAGTGCACTCAACGGGGTAACCTGCCGCGATAAACTCTTGGAAAAGTAGGAATATTATGATTCCGTGCTTGAAAGAAAAGCATACATTCAAAGCGGGCTGGTGCACCCGTGACGACTGTATTTGAAAATAAATGAAAACTTTGTGAATCGCTATATATACATTGTAGTAAAGGTTTCAAAATTAAACGGTTATGCAAGAGTACACTATGTTAGGCAGAGATGCCCTTGCAACCTGCGTTCATCATGCACATTTTATTCTTTTCTAACTCGAGATTAAAGAAAGGGTATTTTATAGAGCAAGATTTGTAAATTCATTCAATTGGGTATAGCTGGCCATTTTTATAGGATTCATTTTATGTTAAATCCGTCATTTACTTGCCATCCCAGGACACCAGACCTTCTGAGGTCACAGTTTATAAATATGGATAGATTAAACTTGGCTTATAAATGAACAGACAAGAGCACTCTGTCTACTTCCTCGTCCTTGTGTTTCTTTGGCGCTTTTTTATCTGATCATGAACCAACTGGCCCAAATTGCTACCTTAATGGTAGTGAAAGGCGCGGAAAAACTATTCGATATTCAAATCGAAAATATTCGGCCCAAACCCCTATTTGCTTCGAATTCGCTTCAAACTTAAAATCCACTATTCACACAAGACTAAAAATTATCTCAGGGTGATGCAAAGACCAGCTAGACTTGGCATCAGTGAGGTCAGGCAGAAGCCTCGCAAGACCTATTTGGCTGGCACCCGACGGTCGAGGAAAGCGTAGGACGTAGCCATTGCGATGAAACCTCGCACTGACCTGTGCCGTGAGCTTGCGGAGGGCTTCCATGGCCGCAGCCTTGTCCAGGGGCTCCCGCTCATTCTTGCCGAAGATCTTGGGGAAGTGGTCGGGCAGCAGACGCCCCAGGCACACATTGGCGTCCGTCACCGTCAGGGGACCCCCTGCAAACGCCAACGGGACGCATTCAAGTTCACGTCAAACATTCTTTGGCATTCAGCATTTCGTGAGACCCAATAAGTGTAGCTGCAAAGCTCGACGCCAATTGATTAGTGGGGCAGGTCACGTGACCGGAGGAGTAGGCGAGGAAGAGCTCGACCACCTGTGCTTAGCAAGGGAGAGGAACTTGAGAGTATAGAAGGCTCTGGAAGACCGCTGGGTATATTGGCCTGATTAGCAGTAGTATTGTTTTATTCTAGGAGAAACTACTCAACATATTCGTAGACGATATTTGTTCATGCATAAATCACTCGGAAATATTACAGTTCACCGATGACATTAAGCTTTTTCTAGCTATCTCTGAATGCGATAAACTACAGCAAGATATTATAGCGCTGGCAAATAGGTGCTTCTCAACCCGGCTAAAACAAAAGTTATATCTTTTTCTAGAAAGCATTCTTGCAACATCTTTGACTACACTTTGAAGAAGTGCTTGATTGAGCGCGTTTCAGTTGAACGTGACCCAGGAGTCTGCTTGGACAGTGAACTGAAATTCTTTGATCATGTGACATTTTTTAGCAACACATGTTACCGTACTCTGGGTGCGATTACCAGAATGACGCGTGATTTCAGGGGATATTCTTGTTTTTTGTATCTGTATCGATCCCTCATCCTGTCTAAACTGGATTTCTCAAGCGCTGTTTGGAATTGTCTAAACCAGACTAACTCCGAATGAAGTTGAAAATATACAAAAAAAAAAAAATTGTTTGACTGCTTTACGATCAATATTTAAACGGGCAAATTTATTTCAGCCATGAGCGGTCGTTAAGATTTTAAACTTGCACTGCCTCTTCAAAAGGAGGTAGGCACGGGTCTTTTTATTTCTGCACAAGTGTCTCCACAACTTAAGCGGGGGCACTACCGGGAAAAAAATATTTCTGCAAAAAAAGTTGATTTTCAAAAGTTTAACGAGTTCACACTGTATAGTTAAATTTCTATAAATTTTCTGTCCACCGAAGCTAAAGAAAAGGTAGGGTTTGGAGCACTTTGAACGCATTTTTCTCCGTTCCACTTTTTGGTATAAATTCCATTTTAGTCAATCTATCGTTTGATAATGGCAATACAGGGAAGGGTCATTGTTCACTTATCCTGACTGAATTTTAATAAGGAATGCGGCTATTGAAATTTTTTGTCACTTTACGGATGTCTTTTATGAAAAATGTTGACATTTTGTCGAAGATACAGAAGACCAAAAAGTTGACCAATTTCGCAGAAGAGAAAATTTATAGAAATACGTAAATAACTTTTTACAAAAAAATATTTCACAGCCGCACCCCCCAGGCATTCTGCTACATATCTAGCAAACAAAACTCTTGAATATTGTGATAGTTTTCCGACGATAGATTAACTAAACAATGTAGGCGTGTTGCTGATAAAAGCTGCTTTAATTTTCTTTCCACTTAACCGACAGACCTGAAATTTCGTTGTGCAACCTCTAGCATGACCACCAGCCTACCCTGTAAATTTCATTAATTTTAAGCCAAGGGTTCAAAAGTTGACCCTCCCAGGGAGTGTGTCCCCTTAATCGAATGCCCGAAACTAACCTCATCCGCTTCCATTGCTGTACGGCAGGCAAGACTCTTCACTCCCACCGTGTTTTCGTTACTTTTGAGCAAAAAAGCTTAAGACCCATTGAACATATACAGTATAATTTTAACTTGTCGGCTGTGATGAAGATGCCTGATGTAGATATCTTTTTGCGGGAGAGTTTTATTATGCAGTCTCTGCTAATGCTTTTGTAAGGTGTGTTTTCTCGTATTTCTTTTAGCAAAAAGTGTTATCTTCAAGTTCATGCACTTTTCCTCTTTTACATTCATATATCACGTTTTTACTTCTTCATAATATGTATGCATTTTTGTGTGCCTGCCCTTTATGCAACACTGCATATATGTGTAAATGGTTCACACTTATATAGGCCCCTGGGTTGTTTAGGGGCACCGGAAAAATACAAATAAATAAATAAATAAATAGAGTGTACATATGTAAGAGTTTCGCTAAACGTTTGTGATGTTAGAACAAGTTACATATGCAACACAATTGCTTAGCAATTTCTTATGGCGACTTCCACAGGGCGTTTTGGAGCGTGCCGGGATCAAATGACCAGATCCGGAATGGAGCACACGATCCGAACTGAGTTGCGCCGCCTACGGATCCCCAGTGGAATATGAACACTGCTCCGGGATCGACGGATGCCTTCTTGTCATTCACCTGCCCGAGAATCCGCTTTCCGCGGGCGCCGCAGTCATTTCGAAGACGTTTTCGCAATTGCGGCGCTAACACGTGTTTGACGCACGAGCGGCAGGAATGGCTCGGGAGCTTCTAGCAAAGATTGCCGGAATGCCGGAAGCTGCTCGAGCAACTTGACGACGAACTGTCGTCAAGCAGCAGCAGCAGTAAGGCGGGCGGTACAGGCGGCACCTCCCGAGCAGCCATTACGAATTCCCGAGGCAAGATGGGCGAGAGTCCCCGCGAGAAAAAAAAGTCCCGTGTGTGCGCCGAGGGCTGGCCCGGCTGGTTTCCGGTTGAATCCGCCAAAATTGGTGAAGCGTCATTTCTCGGATCCAGATCCAGATCTGGAGCGGGAGCTAATCCAAAACGACCTGTGGAACACGTCCGTTTTGATCCAGATCGCCCAGTGAAATAGGATCGCTCCAGAAAAGTCGATCTCGGTGCGCCCCAAAACGACCAGTGGAATTCGCCATTACATGAGTCAATGAAACAACATATTGTCGCCGAATTCTTTTTCTGCATTTAGGTGAAAAAAATAGTACAGCCCTTCCTCTTCACGTGAAGATGAAGGACCAGCGAAGCTTTATTTTTACGACATCTAGGACGATGCCCAAAGGACGGCCTCAAGGACGCCACCTAGAGGACGACGTCTAGGACAACCTCAAGGACGACTTCTAGGACGACCTCAAGGACGACTTCTAGGACGACCTCAAGGACGCCACCTAGGACGAATTCTAGGACCTCTAGGATGACCCCGAGGAAGACGTCTAGTGCGACCTCAAGGACGATTTCTAGAACGACCTCGAGGACGATGCCTAGGGGACGACCTCTCGAACGACCTCAAGGATGACTTCTAGCACCACCTCGAGTATGACTTATAGGACGACCCCAAGGAAGACTTCTAGGACGAAGCCTAGAGGACGACGCCTACGATGATCTCTTGAACAACGTCTAGGACGGCCTCAAAGGCGACACCTAGAGGACGAAGTCTAGGACAACCTCAACGACAACTTCTAGCACCACCTCGAGTATGACTTCTAGGACGACCTCAAGGACGACTTCTAGGACAACGCCTAAGACGACCCCGAGGAAGACGTCTAGGACGACCTCAAGGACGACTTCTAGAACAACCTCGAGGACGACGCCTAGAGGATGACCTCTCGAACGACCTCAAGGATGACTTCTAGCACCACCTTGAGGACGACGTCTAGGACGACCTCAAGGACGACTTCTAGGACAATGTCTAGGACGGCCTCTAGGATGACCCCGAGGAAGACGTCTAGGACGGCCTCAAGGACGACTTCTAGAACGATTTCGAGGACGACTTCTTGGATGACCTCAAGGATGACTTCTAGCACCACCTCGAGTATAACTTCTAGGACGACCTCAAGGACGACTTCTAGGACAACGCCTAGGACGACCCCGAGGAAGACGTCTAGGACGACCTCAAGGACGACTTCTAGAACAACCTCGAGGACGACGCCTAGAGGATGACCTCTCGAACGACCTCAAGGATGACTTCTAGCACCACCTTGAGGACGACGTCTAGGACGACGTCTATGACGACCTCAAGGACGACTTCTAGGACAATGTCTAGGACGGCCTCTAGGATGACCCCGAGGAAGACGTCTAAGACGGCCTCAAGGACGACTTCTAGAACGATTTCGAGGACGACTTCTTGGATGACCTCAAGGATGACTTCTAGCACCACCTCGAGTATGACTTCTAGGACGACCTCAAGGAAGACTTCTAGGACGAAGCCTAAAGGCCGACGCCTAGGATGACCTCTCGGACAACCTCAAGAAAGACTTCCAAGACGACCTCGAGGCCGATGCCTCAAGATGATAACAACGGATGAGGACCTCAATATCCAATAATGCCAAGGAAGGCCGACTCACACTGGTTGCCCCCTCTTTTTATTTTTATTTATTAATCCTTGCCACAACCAATGGGGAGTTTTCTTTCAACACCTGTGAATGCATTTTTCCCCAGATCCTAGCGCATAACAGCTTCGCTGTAGAAACAAAATTTGCAACTTACCTAAATGCTTTGTATGAAGTTGAAAAAATGCAGAATGCATTAGCTTTTCCAAAGCCTTTTGCCACCTCTAGACTTTTAGATATTTGTCTCTTTGTGATTTTAGACTTTTTTCATCTGTATTTCTCCCTAGCAGGGATGGGCAAAATACATGCGAATATGTATCAAAATACAAATACAAAATATTTTGTCAAATATGTATTTAATTACAAATCTAATTACATTTCTAAAAAAGCATTTAAGTACAAGATACAAATACAACCAAATGTATTTGGTCTCCTCCAAATACTTTTCCAAATACATTCATTCCTCAAAATTTGCGTCAGTGACTTCAGGGCACCTGCAACAGGTTTCTGAGTATCTCATTTTAATTTTGCATCGCACACTTGGGAGCTAGTGTGCGAGGCTCTAGTAACGTAATAGAAATATAATCACAAAAAAAATGTAATTAGCTTGGACGTAATAGGTGAAAAAAGTACAGAGCTTCAAGCAGCTTTTTTTGTCGACTACATTTTGGTATAGACCAACAAAGAACCGAGACGACCAAGACGCGCAGCACTAGCTAGAGAATTTTTTATCGTTGCAACTCGCACCAGTTACGGAAATCTGGATGACCCACGCAATTAGAATGTTCCAGGCAAAAATATGGATGGAAATCAGGCTGGAAAGCATCACAAGT